GATTTTTTTTAAGAAGCTGTCTCGGAGTCTCGATTTTTCGCAAGGTTAATGGTCTCGAAGTCCTAATTCGTTCCTTTATCTGTTTTTGTAAGTGACGTCTTCTCTTCAATTGATATGGAATTTCAATGAAGCAACTTACAAATTTTCCGAGAAAAAGTTAAACCTAACTTCTCCTACCTGTCTTAATTCCAGAAAAAGGTACAAAACCTACCGCAACGTCCGCTTTGGCGCCAGAAAAACAGTCATTTTTCTCTAGGATATCATAACGTAGTGTGTTATAATCGGATTTCCAGTTCCAGTCAGTTCCAAGAAGCTGACCTAAGGCTGTACACGCTCAATCTACCTCTCAACTAAACCTGGGGCTCGAATTTTCAGAGTCTGAACGTCTCGCGCTCGCACTCAAAACACTTTGAAGTCTCGGTCTCGCAATCTAAATGGTCAAAATGTCTCGGGCTCGCAAACAAAAACGCGTGTCTCGCCGTCTCGCAAAGTCTCGCATTTACCATTCGCCACCCCTAAATTTCTGATGCACCTCGAATGCAAAACGAGTCAATTTGAAATCGTTTGTTTCGATTCCTGGTGAGAAGGTTCATCCTCTGAAGTTTGTGCCTTTTCATCCAGTTTCATCTTCAAGTGTAGTACAAGAAAGGGTCGTCGGGATTTCGGTTTTGCGGATTTGGCCAATTTTTTGTTTGGTTTTTCGGTTTTCGCACTTAAAAACTGTGGTTTTTCGGTTTTGGTGTCTTGTGCGGTTTGCGGCTTCTCTCCAATTCATTCTTTGGTTTTCGAATTTGTCAAAAAAAAAAAAATGGCGGTTTTTCGGATTTCTACCGTAATGCATTTTACGCTTTTTCTAGTTTTGCCAAGGAAGCTACACCCTACAGTTACGCTGCAATTCCAAGGGACCTCTTATATAGCTTTCTACCCATACTTTCTTTTACAGGAATGCATGAGAAGCGTAGTCTCTTTAGCAGCCGTTATTTGGGTCGAAGCGGCTGCCAAGCAGACTATGAAAAGCTAAAGATCACATCAAAGCAAAAGACTATTTCTCAAATATCACGCGGTTGGGATAAGATCTTGTGAACTTTGACCTTAGACTGTGGGCCATCGGGTTTCTATGGCTCTATTGCCATTTAACATTGCGCTCACTAACTCCGTTCACGTGGAATAACAGCAAAGGAGAAACTGTTTGCTTGGTTGTAAACTAAGTAGTTTGGTTGTAAAGTACGGCTGCCATTGTGCCTGCACAAATGAAAATTCTGACATTGGCAACCAAAAAGCAACTTTAGAATGTGGTGTTTCTTTTAACCAAAAATTATCTAAAATCACAAAATCATTTTCATTTTCCTTCTTTTTTTATGTTATATTGTTATTTTTTTCATAATTATCATAATTATTCGACGTTCCGGGATGTTCCGGAATGTTCCGGAATGTTTCAGAATGTTCCATCTTCCCGGTTTTATCGACGACCGTCTGTGGAGCCGATTTACAAAAACATAAGCAAATTTTTAGACTACGATGACTTCTGCACTAACGAGGGAATGCGTAGAAAGAACTTCGGAAAGTAAAGCAAGTTTAGACGTATAAAACTTTAGGCGGAGGTCTTCCTGAATTTAAGTGAAATTTTAGGAAGTTTAAAGAGGGATTAAAAGGAAAAAAAAGGTTATGGAACACCACCAGACAGTTGAACGCCACCGAAAGGGCACCCCAGGTTGGTGGACAACTGTTTGGTGTACGTCTACCAATTTTTAACTTCAAATTCTGATTTAAAACAACACCAAATCCTCAAATTTCCTATTTCCATAAATTTTACTAATCCTTTGAGAAAAACTATTTATCTCCAAATATACCTAAAAATCACCAAAACATTCACAAAACAGCCCAAAACATAGATATGTGGGATGACCAGAGAGATTCTTGACTGCTTGAAACGTCAACGAGATATTTGCATTAAAACCATATACGGCCTTCGTGTAGACCCCTGTCTTAAGGGGGGTTCTTCTTAACTACCATTTAGTCAGGAATTTGTTGCTAAGGAAGGTTTCCAACTGTCATATTTTGAAAACCAGAACTCCGAAGGATAAGCTTTTTACACAGGTTTGTTTCATTAAAGAGTCCTGCAAAAATTTCAATGGCCATATTTGACCAGTTACGTGACCACAATAGAAAAAAGCCTACAACGTGAAAGGCATCTAATTCCGAAACTTTAAATTAGTGTCAATAGATTAAGAACGTCCACGCGCTTAATGCTACGTATGGGTTTATGAAACTCGCATTATCACAAAAGTTATTAGGTAATAAACACCCGTATTAACAGACTTTCTACGGTAGCTTTCCTTTTTTACCCGTAAGCAGTAATTCCATACTACGGTTTTAAAGAAGGCTAAGTTATTTCTGATTCATCAGAAATATCGGAACTATTCCTCTTTTTTTCCAAGTCTTAGGGAATTGAAATTTAACGCGCGGTTTGGGACTGGCACTAGTTACGCAGGCGGAACTAAATTTTTTTTTCAAAGCAAACTTTCCCTCGTATAAAATTCACCATTTAGCACTGCAAAACGCTCCAAAATAGCTGCCCTCTAAATATCGTCTTCAGCAATCCCTTAGCAACTTCTCTATATCTATAGTTAAGAAGGACCCGTCTTAAATAACAGAAAGAGAGATTCTGAAGCCTACCAAAACTTTGTCAGTGAGAGATTTTATTTCGGTTTTGGAAGAAATTTATTGCGGTTTTGCGGTTTTGGGCGATTCTTTGCGCGGTTTTTCGGTTTCTAATAAGCCCTAGCCTGCGAACAGACTCACTTTTGAGTCACGCGCGCGAGCGGCGAAGAGCAGAGCGATCCGGTGGGAAGGAGTCTGGTGAAGATGCATCAAGAAAGTGAGTCCACTTTCTCGCCTCGCGGCTTCGCCGCTAAATTTCGTGCTCGCGGCTACGCCGCGCGCGTTTGTGCTCCAATGTGAGCCTGCTCGCAGGCTGAATAATCCCCTACGCCCTCATCTACAAGCGAAACTCGAGAAGAACTTTTACTTGCTTGTAGAAATCAACAAAGATATAGTAAAGTATTTTGGGGGAGTCTCGTGACCAACTGAAGTATGCAGGTACTCGGTAAACTTTATCTAAAGAGTCTTTAAACACACTTTCCCCGTCAGCTATGCAATAAAAAGAAAGCAAACATATTTCCACAAAGAGCGTGTAGCTAATAAGAAAATTTAAAAGTATCTAAACTGTCAGTACTCGCGGGGGGGGATGCACTCACTTATAGGGGCTACATAGGTATGTGCGGCCCCAAAGGGTAGGGTTTTTCAACCCGCATCAACAAAAGCCCTTCATAACTTATGGTTAGGGCAACTGTGTCAGCCGCAACGGTCTTAAATAGGGTATCGAATTTTTGGCCAGGTCATAAATAGGGTAGCAAAATTCGCAGATTTTGGTCGTAAATAGGGTAAGTGTTTTGGGAAGTGGGCCGCACACCGGCACCCCCACCCAACTTTTCTGGGAGTATCCCCACCTGGGCATCAGTACTAAAGGAAAAATCTCGTGACTAACACGCTTCGTTTTCCACGGACTAGTTCATGTTGCTAGTAGTAATCAATGAAAGATTCACTTTAATATTTATGCCTTAATGATTTCATTAACTGACTTTAAACCTCTGTCTATTGCTAATATTAACATTTTTCATCAACAACCGAGGTTTTACAGACAGATATATCACAGTGTCAAAGTCCATGCCAGTGAAGAGGTCTCTTGTATAAACCACGATTTGTTTATACGTTGCATGATGGCGCCAGTTTCCGTAGACTCAACAAAAATATTTACATTATTTCGTGCTTCAAATTTTCAAACAACAGACTGCAAGGCTGAAACTACGTGAAAGACGTTTTCGAGACACCAACATGACAAGAACCGATAAAGCAGAATCGCAACAGTGGACAGCTGTTTCGTCCTTCTTGGGACTCGTCAGCACTGTGTAGCGAAGATATATATAGCCCACAATGTAAACTACTGGGTTACCAGTAATTGTGTCAGCTATTAAAGTGTTTTATTTATTTATAACGCCAGCCCAAGAGCCAACGCACATAATATGTACGTATTGACTGAATGGGAGGGCCGAACGGGAAAATATTTGGCCCACGGTCAGGACGTACGGACCTCGAGGAAATATTCGGCTCCTCGGTCAGGACGTACGGACCTCGAGCGGCCTCAAACCAAATATTTTGGTCAACCATAAGATGCGCGACAGTCTTTGCGCATATGACGTATGACATATGACGCCATTCATTGGCGCAGAATGCAGACGTTCGACGAGAAAGTCTCAAAAGAGTACCGTTGAAGCCACAGGACACCCAAGATTATGAACTTCGTTCTGCGAACGCAAAAATGCGCCAGAATTCCTGGTAATGCCTCGCATGCAGTTCACAGTTTAGGCCTCGGTATGATTTTGTCTTTTTCTCTGAAATTGTAAGTACTCAAGAAATGGGATCACACCGTTGGATTCGCTAGTAGTAGTCAACTGATACGCGCTCTGACGCATCTGTCAGAATCAATTTTGGAAAGCTCTAAAAGCATGTCAAGCTCACCTTACTGCGCTTAGCGGTCAAACTACTGCTGCTAGATGGTTGGAAGAAATTAGTCAAAATCATTTTGATTGAACCACACTTACAATGCAGAGATTATAGTCAGCGTGGTGTGATAAAGCGTGACAACATTATTTGTGTCACGTACGAACTCTTGGACTTTAATATAATCGAGAATGTTTGACCAGTTATTCGCACTCTGGCTCAACATTCATGATCAGAACTAGAAATTAGGCAAGAAAGGTCGCGTCTAGTCTCATAACCGATGGCTGCACGTTTGAAGTTCGTTAAAGGGAAATGGAGTAAAAAACGCGGAAGAAAGGAGTCGAGTGCCGAGACGAACGCGCAATTCATAGAAACGGCCCAGGGAACTGCGGAGAAGTTAAGTTCCAGCGAAAGGTCAGTATCTCTTTCTTTAGTGCGTTGCAGTTATCTACATTTATAGCTTTAGCCATAGTTTTTATTTTAATTTTGTTTTCTGACCTGACAGTTTTGGTTCAGTGTTTGCTACAAATCAACCAAGTTAACGAACGTCCATTGTCTTGCACGTGACGCCCGAGTGACCTGAATAATTTCGAGAAATTGTGGAAGCTGTGAGCTTTTAACACTGTAAATATTGTATTGCACGTCACTAATGTAAATTGTTCGTGAAAATGACGCTCTGAAAAAACACAGCTGTCTGCATTATTTGCATTTTCTTAAAACGCTCTGGGTTAAAAGATCAACCGACAACGCGCTCATTGGAATGCAAATTAGCTACATGTATGCAATCAAAATTAAGATATCTGTGAGCCTGGGTGAGCCTGTGATGTTCTACGCCTGGTTATTGCAGAGAAGAATATGGCATGTGGGAAGTTCAGCGACTTCAAATAATTAATTGTAACCAGACCCAGTTATAAAATGTCTTCCGAAGACGCGGGCGAAAATCGTCAACAACGAGAGCGTCTGCGAAAATCACGAAAACTCGGTCTCTGTCAAAAACTGTCTACACAGTATCGAGCTTGTTATTTGGATGGTCAAACACCGTATGAACGGTAAGACAAAATCATGGATAATAACAACGATTTTTTATATTCTTAAGCTTTGTGATAAGGTTAAAAGATAGCACCAAATGTCATGAATTAAATGGCTTATGTTTTGGCCTTTCAGGATTAATGTTAGCTTTGAACAAATCATTTGAACCTTATCTACAGCTTGTAAGACCACAACTTTTAAGATCAAGAATAATTGATTAATGTCCCTGTATGGTGTACAAGGCTCACACTTGACATGGAGTATTACATTTGTAATTTTTGATTCGAGTATCGACTGAACTTATATTACTTCTTGGATTGCAGCAAGTACATTTATTGACTAAAGTTTAAACTTACGCTCAATTACTAAGGGAACTGTAGAGTCCTTAATTTTCCGCTTACATCATTTTCCCGGTTCAGGTTGAATTGGCATAGCCACTTTGATTTTTATTATTGTTTATTTATTGTTATTGTTGTTATTTCGATATATTTTACCATACATATCCCTTTGTATCTATGATATATTGTCAGCGTTGAATTGATATATCATTTCATTTTTGGACCATTTAAATGTGAAAAGAAACAAATTTAGTGCTTTACCTTAATTTATCAATATTTTTGCTTGATGCCCTTTGGATTTCTGTCTTTTGTGAAGGAAAGAAGTAAATAGCCATTTCCATTTGTCTCCTTTTCCCTCTGTTTCAAAACAAGTACTTGTGCACAACTTTTCATTTGAAAATTAATTTTTGTTTGTATATTTTCAAATCAATGTGTAGTTCCAGAATATATCCATACCTCCCCCACAGAAGGGATTTTTTTAAGACCCCTCACCCCTCTGGAAATTCCAATTAAACTTCATATATTTCTTTACATTTTTTGGTCTTCCAGAACCCTCACCCCCTCAGGAAATTCCAATCCCTTCTGTCAGGGAGAGTATGAATATTTTCTGGAACTGCACAATGGACAGGTGACAGAGATTTTCGTATGAATTGTTTTTTAAAAAAACTCATTTTCACACAGGAACAAGAAACAGCTCGGAAATGGGGTACTCACAGTACAGTGCATATGAGAATAACACATCTTTCAACAATATCTATATGACAAGAAAATGCAAGAAATTTCAAAGTTTAAAAAATAATAATAATTCACATTTAATTAACAGTAGTTCCTGAAATGTTCTATTTGCATGTGTGGGCCATTGTTTCTTATTTTTCTAACAAGAGGCGGGATCTTAATGCTATTTAGGAAATATTTCCAACTGCAACTTTTGGTACTTGGCGTTTACTGAGATTTTTAACCAATTATAGTAAATAAATAATATTGTTTTCATAGGCTTTAGATGAAGCAAAGCTACATGTATATTTTATACCTGGCATGTATTGAACAGCTGTTTATTATGGTCTTAGACTGTGGGGCATGTCCTGTAGAGAAACTGCTGAAAAGCAAATTTAAATCACTACATGCATATATATACCTGTACATGTACGTTGTTTCAGTTTTGTATGGAACATTCTGGATAATTTTGCCATGTACCTCTGTCATTTATTAGAGCTCAAAACTTTGATGGCAACTTTTTTGAGAAGTTTACTTCACTGGAGCGGGCTGAAAAGTTGACAGAAAGCCAAAAGATTCAGGTGAGGAGATCACTGGTCCAAACTGAGTCACCCTCTGCAATGATGACATAATTATACAGACCGACTTAGCTCAGTTAATAAGATGTTTATTATATGGCAAAGAAGAAAACTTTAATTCATTGCATGTAACTGGTTTGCTGACATTTTGCTAGTGAATGGCGATGAGCTTAACTTAAACCTTCCGAAATTTGC